AAACCTTTCTTGGTACTTACACCCGTAAATTCAGTTCCCTTGAATACATGCTGTAACCTTAGGAAGAAGGCTACAATGTAGAACTCTGGCCACTCTTCTACTATGAAAGAACAGCTTTACTTTGATAAAGAACTTCTGCTTATGTTTTCAATATCAGCTTTCACCTCTAACTTTCTTAGCATATTGTGATAATGAGTTGTACACAAAGCATTGGCATGCAGCATTATTGAGATGATTTCCTTTCTGGCTGAGCCAGAGTCCTGTTAAAAGTTAATTTAGACTCTTGAGAGACTTCGGAGGGAAGGATTAAAGTCCCAACAACAGCACAGAGACAACCTTAATGAGGCTGAAGTCAGGATCTACTGAAATTGAAGCCAGACTTGTTAAGGATGAACTTAGAAAAGCCTCAATGAAATATCAAATAAAAAAGTGGTTGAGAAAATGCTTTACCTCTTTATCTCTAAATTTTATACCTATTAAATGTCCCAGTCCTGCAAACACTTGCACGTATGATTATTCCCACTGAGTTCAGTAAAAGCAGGATTATAGTTGTACACAATAGAAAAATGGCTAGGGAAATCAATTCAAATTATTGGTGCAGCTATGTTAGAAGGTATCCATGGATGATATCAATCAGTAACTGGTTAAGTCAGTGAATATACTACATACTATTTATTCATTCTAAATGAAGGAGAAATTAAATGTCCCCTTGTTTTAAACCATAGCTGAAAGAACAGAAACTAGGGCCCAAAGCCTAGCATGGAAAAACCTAAACATGAGCTAAGGCATGGTGTGTGTCTTTGTACGTGAGAGGTAAAGCAGCAGAATCCAGGAAAAGCCAGAGCAAGCCATAGTGGCTTTGAGAGGGAGAAGAGGCAGAACAACTCCGGGCACTGAACTACCTGGAAGGCAGGCTTATTAACTGTGAACAATATAACTAAACTGCATCCTGCTGTTTATTTCTACTAGCTTTGTCTGCATAGGAGTCTGTGCTTCTATCGCTATGCCAGCATAGCGATGGAAGCTGTGAAGACACTACTTATGCTGACAGAAGGGAGTTTTTTGCCAGTGAAGTTACACCACCTCTTTGTATGACCTAAGCTAAGCCAACAAAAGCTTTTTTTGTTGGCATAGTGCTGCAGGGAATCGGGACTTTGTACAGACTTTGTGTACATTCTTTGTGAAAAAACAGGAGCGCCCCGAGGACCATGCCTGACTTACATAAACATTTTTTTTTCCTAAAAGAAACAATCTGTCAAGGCCCTAAGTATTGGCTAAATGCTTGGGTCAAGAGGCAATACTCTTAAGAACATTAACAATATAAATAATAATAATATACTTGCTTTAAAAAATATCCCTCCACTACCCTTATTTTAGAGGATGGCTTGAGCTACAAATCCTTTAAATTGAAAGCAACTGTGAGGCCCAATCTATACAAAGTGTCACACCAGCTTAACTCTCTTTGAGTGAACAGTTTTGGATGGGTTTAAAACTAAGGCCATGTCTAGACATGCATGATACTTTAAAGTGGGCTCAGTGCTTTTGCACTGCTTTAATGGTGTTGCTGTTTGCCTGGCTCGGTAGTGTATTGCGCATTAATTCCAGCCGCTGTAGGAAATTCAGCGGCGTAATGCGCCTTAAAATGACTCAGGGCGCAGCAAACTAAAACTCCTTTGAGGAGTTTTAATTTGCTGCTCCTACAGCTGTGGAGCAAAGCACTGGGCTCCATACAGCTCTGCAGGAAGCCCCGCAGGCAGCCTGACAGCAGCAGGGGAAAGCAGCTCTGCCGGAGAAAAGCGGTGAACCTGATACTTTTTTTTTGTCCCCCCCCTCCCCAGCCAGAGCCTGCCTGAGCTACATGGGGGCCCGGTGCTTCCCTCCATGGCCGTGGTGCCCCCAGGACTGCCCGAGTCAGTTGCCTGTAGGTGGGTGCTGCCTGGGGGGGTCCACCACAGATGCAGAGGGAAGCACCACCCCCTCTCTCACAGCCCAGGGACCACTCCACCTGCTGACAGCTCGCCCTCCTCTCCCTGCCACCAGAGAGGCAGGTAAGTCAGCAGGGTGTGTGCATGACACGGGGGTTTAATCAGCCCTAATATGAAACAGTGTTTTTAAAACCCACGTTTTCAATTTAGGGCCCCCATTTTGCCTACACACACCCTACGTTGCTACCAACTGATGTTGAAACTGAGTTAGTGAAACAAATATGTCTGCCTTGTATAAACAAGCATTTGGTGACACTTATGGTATACAAAATAAAAGAACAAAAAACTGACAAAAATGGAAAACTACAGATTTTTTTGAGAGCAATGGGATAGAAAATTGAAAATATTTAGAAATATTCAAAAATCAATTTCTACTGTAGAAAACAAAAACATCCATTAAAATCTGGAATGAAACAAGTGAGCATCTCAGTGAATTACATGGACAAGGCTTTCCAGGACTCTGGGTAAACGTAGCAGCAAGAAATTTAGAATTGTCCTTAATATCTTTTCTTTCCTTTATGTCTGATTCTTTCCCATATGCAATAATTCCAGTATGGCTTTTAAAGAATGGAATGTTATAATTTTCAAGCTTCTTGTGTCATTCTTACTTACCAGTTATTATATTGATCCTTGAAAATTTAATTAAAGACATGTTTAGGCAGGCATGTAGTGACTTTGCGACTATATTATTTGGTTTTCTAGTGCAAAAATGTTTCTTCTTGTCACTAAGATATAGTGGATTATTGCAGCTTTATTATTTAAACACACAAGATGGAGGGAAAACCAGGACCCAAAAGAAAAGCAAATTGCTTCCAACAAGCGAAGAGCATACAACAACATATTCAAGAAAATCACGTGTTTAAAAAAAAAATGTTACCCTTTAGGCTATCATGCACATCAAGTTGTCACTTTAGAAATTTTTTTGGACACACATGAATTTGGAGGGAGCTCTGAGAGGTGTAAAGTAGCAGCTATACTAAAAGATTGTTGTCTAAAACAGTAGGTGGTAATATCATGTTAAATGTGATTTAAGAATTAATTTTGTATGCTATATCTTAACATCCTATTGACCCTTCAAGAGATTAGCTGTTGGCATAGGTAATATATGCCATGAATATTAGGAAAGCACCATATATAGTGTCAAAAGGCAAATTCAGTTCTCAAATATCGGCACTGCAGCAAAGAAACAGGAATACATACAGTAATTATATTAAGCACATATAAACTACTATCCAAAAGAATCCCAATTATGCAACCTGGTCCTACAAATGCTGTGGCCAGCACTGCCATGCTGTTTTTTTCTGGGGCAAAATGTATCAAGCTGTTTCACAATTCACAGCAAGACAACATACATTTAAAAAGAGCATATTCACTGAGGATGCAAATTGCCAGTGTGAGGGCCTCACTCAGTGTTGAAAAATAGGTCTCAGTAGCTATTTGAAAAATGTCGGGTCCTAATAGCCTCCGGTCTAGGTTCAAGCAATTCATTTTTGACAAATCTGCTGGATCGGTCACCTATGTGAGGACTGAATTCTTGAATCCAGGGCCTTGGTCTAACCAGCCTAGCTATGTAACTCAACTCACCACCCCACAGCTGTTCCTAATGGTTTCATGAGGCCTCCATTAGCAGCTGAATTTCTGCCTGCATCCTGACACCTGAGTTGCTGTGTCTTGCCAGCTGATCTCACACACTTCACCTGTATAAATCCAGGGAGAGGAACAGGAGGTATTTGGGCAGTTGGGCTCTTCCTGATTTTAGAGTGCATCTCTGATAGCTCTGTCTGCTTTCTATTTAATTTATTTCCTAACTTGGCTTGCTTGCATCTGCTTGAGCTCCTGGTTTCCTGATTCAGCTTGCTTGTGGATTCTCCTTTTCATTTGACCTTCCAGTTTCCTGACTTGGCTTGCTAATAGACTTCACATACCTTTCAATCTCTTGGTTTTCTGACCTGACTTGTCCTTAGACTTGGTGTGCCCTGACTTGAGATATACCCCCCCATATAATAACCTTGATTTCCAGTTGGCCCCCAGGCCTGGCTACCTCTGTCCTGGCACTGACAATCTGTGAGATGCTGATGCAGAGTACCTTCCAGTAGGTGTCTTGCTTGGGACTGCTGCAGCTGTTTCTTGTCTCTGCTGCAGCCTTGTTTGGTCTCTGAAACCAGCCTAGACTTGGCTTCTAGAGTAAGGGGTACCCTGAGATTCTTCCCACTCTGAGACCGCAGTCTTTCAGTCGATGACCCCTCCTAGTTTTCCATGGCCCTGATCCAAGGACGTAGCATCCAATTCCACTTCACCAGCAAAGAGGCTGCCTGGATTGATTAGAGACAAAAATCATAGGCTGCTGGGACTCCTGCTCCACGAAGAGATTTATCAGGAGCTTCATGGTCTGTCTTACTCTCTAACCCCACCCTTCTTTATGGCTTCTATATGCAGGCATACTTGAAATACAGCTACATGCCTAGCTTGGTCCATACGTGACATAAGCAGATCTACACGGTGATCTTAATGAAACAAGCTATTACGTGCCTCTTCATTACCACTGCTACTTTCCTTTCTGAGGAGGCAACCAATTCAGCTAACATTTCCCTGCTCTTCCCTCCCCCCCACCCATTAACCTTGCCATACCCTTTGCTCCTGACTGAGGCTGTGACATTGGGACTTCTGATATTGTAAGTGTATTGATATTGGAAGGTAAGACAAGTAAAATATATTTATTATTTTATTCTTCAGACTTAAATTTCTAATTTCTAGCTAGCCAGCCATCCTCTCAACTTTTTCCCATTCAAGCCAGGTTTTTTGCATATAGTAAGGCATGCTATATGGTCTTCATGTGATGTTAACCTATGGCGGGCTGCCTGGGTTGAGGGCATTACTATTCATGGCGGTATCATCCCTTTGTACTGCATTGAACGTTTGCTGCTCTGCCAAATATGGGAGCTTCAAGGAGGCTTAGAGAGGAGTTGTTTGCTTAAACTACTTATTTCTTATGATTTGGACCTTTTTCTACATTTCACAGGCTGCTGGCAGTGCGAACAGTGCAGTACTTCTCCATGTGAAAAACAAGCACATCCAAAATATTTGTTTTTAACCACAAGAGCAAACCCTTCCAGATATGCCATGATGATTCTTAACAAAATACTATTGGCCTGCTCTGTCATTTAGTGTAAAAACCAACCTGCTGCAGTACTAGTTTCTGAAGTGACTACCTAGTCCCAGAAAGCAGGGTTATGATGGGGATCTCTATTAATGCTTTTCACTGAGAGTGGAAGGAAACTGTACAGCCAAATGTGAGTTGAGATAGTTAATAAGGTGCAAAAATGTTCTGCCATTCATTTCCGCTGGATACTTCCTGCTGCGTTCTGTCAAAGGAGAAGGGAATCCAGATCCCAGTCTTCAGCCAAATGGGGAAGGGGGAGTTTGTTCTACCAGATCTCAGGCTCTCTCTGCAGTAAATCTGCTGCATATGCAAAGGAGGGCTAGGAGTGCCTCTGTGGCAATGTTGCTCCAAGATGTTTTAAAGATGGCCTGCCTTGTGAATTCTTGACCCTATTTCTCGTCACTGTTGCTGTTCAGCTGTGCTTGCCTATTAATTAAGATGTTCAGTGGGGTGGCAGAGAGGTGTTTAATCCCTGCCCACAGTTCACTGGTACTCCTGGTGGGTTTACATAATGTTACCATATTTCCAGTTTCAAAAAAGAGGTTACCTATCGGGGGGAGGGTAATACAATTGTGTGCGGGGGAAGTGATATGCCTGTGCCCTGCCCCTCACTCCCAAGTCACAGCCCCTTCAGCTGTGCTGCTGCCCCTCACTCCCAACCAACAGTACCCTGCCCCCTGGACCATGTGATGCCCCTCACTCCTGACCCGCAGCCCCCTAGCACTGCCTGTGCCCCATGCTTCTGACCCACAGGCCCCCCCCCAGCCCTGCCAATGCCCCTCACTCCTAACCTATGACTCCCTGCCCCCTCCCAGCTCTTCTGGTGCCTCTTACTCCTAACCCACAACCCCCTGCTTCCCCCCAGCCCTTCAGCTTCTCTCCGCTGGCCCTGGTGCTACTGGGCCATCCACACAGCAACCTGCTGGCCCCAAAAGCCACCCCCCCTTCCACCTTCCCTTGCTGGAGGGGCAGGCACCTCTCCTGCCCTGCTGCAGCCCCGGCACCCAGACAGCTTCCCCCAGTGCTGGCAGGCACCTTCCCACACTCATATCCATCCCCTCCACACACTTCTGCCACTTGCATGCGCACAGTTGCACACCCCCCGACTGTCCCCAAGCCCTGACCCA